TGCCAATACAGCCCTATATAAGATCAGGAGTCCAAATTTTTTTATTTGGTGAATGCAATGCTCTTCCATAGATTCCACCATGTTGTGATTTATTTAACGAACAAAACCAAACCTTGCTGCTTCTAGAGGCTTTAAGAGGTTCAGGATCATCCAGGTGCTGCTGATCAAACATATTAATTAACTAATCTGATCACCTCTTTAAAAGTCAACAGTTTGTCCTTTGGTTAGATGTGACCAAAGTAAGGAGGCTTACCCATAATGCAATACAGCATGTTTTAATTAACAGCCCATCAGCACCAAAACCTTAACCTATATTTAAGCATGGTGGTGGAGGACTGATGGTTCAGTCTCCCTGCAGTGGACCATGTACTCCTCTGAAGACCAAAGGATTMYAGAGTCAGATGTGAGCTCATCTGTCTGACAGCTGAAGAACAGTGATCCCAAACCCAGCATCTGATCAACAACAGAACAGGTCAAAAAGAAAATAATCAAGGTGCTGCAGTGGTCCACAGTCCAGAACTTCAACCTAAATAAAAAGTTTYGGTGGGGCTTTCAGAGAGCTGAGCAGAAACAACTGTGAACTGAGGCGACACTGGAAATACCAAAATTCTTCCACAACCATGTGAAGTCTTGACAGAAAACCACGACAGTGTTATTGCTGCTATGGCACTACAAGCCTTTTCTTTTCCACCTAAAGCTTATCCATTTTGGCTAAAGTTCARTCAAAGCTTTCACACATTATTTGGACCTGATTAACTTCAGCTCTGCGTCAGTTTAAAGCTTCTGTTTCAAAAGAAGCTTCAGTCTCTCAGAGCTGCTGACAAGGCTGGGATTTCAGGTTTCATCATGGCAGATGTTTCTACAACACATTACCCTCACGTTGTCACACACAGAAACAGATCAACCATCAGCTCCCACATTTTTCACTTTAACTCAGTCTGATGTAGTCTGAGTGTTAGTCTCTCAGAGGTTTCCTTCTGTCARTGCTGCAAGGGTTAAAGTTGTAACATCTCACTGGGYTTGTTTTCATCAACCTAGTTAGTAAATCATAGAAAAAAATGTGATTTTTGTTTAACTAATAAAACAACAGCTGAGTGACGCAGAGTCAAATTATGGACTTTTTATGGACTTCTTAATGTCAAWAAACAAACTCATCGAAACTTTTAAATATTTATGAGCACTGTTGTCTGACAGGGTGATTTACAGATATTGTTTTTAGAGCAGATTAAATCAGAGATCTCAGCTGAGAAAAGCCTCTCAGCTGTGTGATAACTCTTTRTAGCCTGAAGATTTATAGAYGTATTATGAGGTTTTTTTATTGCCCACTGCCAAAATACAATTCGTGTGCATGCTAATGTGTCCGACTGTTAGCAAAATATCTTAAAAACGACTGAACAGAGTTTATTGAAACCATCGGGAAGTCATTATTAGATGAACGTCTACAACTGATTAGGGGGTGACTGGGGACAGATGCAACACTTTTTGCATATGACTCTGTTACTCAGAGATGGTTTGGATTAGACAAACCAAATTTTAACACAGTAAACTTACATCTGTCTGTTAATAGTTAAAACCATTTATAGATGATTAAAACATGTACATTCTTCACAATTTGCATTTGAAAATGAAAATTCAGATGTTGCAACCGACCCTGGGGCCGGGGACAGTTGTAACATTGTTTGGGAGCGGTTGCAACATATTATTAATACAATATATTTCACTGTAAATAAAAGTTTTATTGTGTGAATGTCTTTTTGCTATTTTCATGCCTTTTCTGATTTTTTTTAAACTTTTTTTGTGCTTCTTTCT